CTCCAATGTAAACAGAAATTTCTTTATTTTGCTAAGGTTTTTATGAAAAAATCACAAAAATACAACACCCCCCCCCCCCCCCCCCTTAAATTTTTCCATAAAAAATAAATTTTTGTCCCTCTCTTCTTCAAATTCCTGGCTACGTTCCTGACTAGTATGAATCTGTTCATGTTCCTGATTCATCTTTTAGTCAAACACTGCTTTAAGCTTCATTTTAGACTTTAGTTTGGATTTATTCTGAAGTTCTTCGAGTTACAACATCAAGTTTGTACCTTTAGATATAGTTTGGAGCTGTGACCTTTCCAATCTCCCACATAATACTCTGCTTTAATAATTCAGAGAATTATATTAATCAAATCTTATTTACCGTTCCGTGTGCAACAAATTGAAAATACAGCAGAAAAAAAATCAAATCCTCAAACAATTCGTTTTCTTCTCCAATTGATTCCTCACTTGGCAATGACAGCATAAACGAAAAGAAGCAAAAATGAATGTTTACCATCAAACTTCTTGCTACTTTTTTCATCATCGATATCACCATCCGATGATATTGATGCTTGTACATTCTTCTATCCAAAAAAAAGTCAACACACATGTGCTTACATCAGGTTGAAGGAGAGCTTTTGGAAAAAAAAAGTTTATATTATTCAAGATGATGACAATGATGATGATGTTTTGCATACGACATAAATTGTCAATAGTTCAACAAGCATTCTCTGACAAACAATCAACAATTGGATGAAGATGAGTACGGATGTGGGTTAGGTATTTGAAAATATTTTCTGTTATGTAAACTTGACAATTTTGGAGATGTTTCAAAACAAAATTGAATAGATATGAGGATGAAAATGTTCATTTTGATTGGTTTAAAGTTGGAATTGGATGTTTATTGCACGACATGGTCGAATGTCAATATAGGTTTCTGGATTTTGGCGCAAAGTAAAGAGGCTAACCATTTGCTGGACAAATAAGGATTGAGAGGGAAGTAAAGGAAGTTGCTTAATTGGATTCAGGTAAAAGAATGGATTTGATCAAAAAAATTCAAAATTCATTTTTTTTAAAAAATAATCAAGGCGTGAAAACTCTGGATTAATCCTGAAATATCCCAAAAATCCAAAAAAAACTGAGCCAACCCGAATAGCACAAGTTGGTTAATCGAATAGAAATCCAGCAGCAATCAGGTATGATTCTGGCATGGTGCTGGCATCAATTTAAAACCAGCACCATTCCAGAGTCAAACCGGCTTGGTGCCAGATTTCTGATCAATTAACCGACTTGTGCCATTCGGGCAATAAACATGAAAATACGAAATTCCTTGTAAATCCAGAAATCATTCTTCAAATGCATCAGGCATTTGAAAGGGAATTTACATTTACATGTTTAGTGGCTCAGAGATTTTTTTGGATTTTTGGGATTTTTTAAGGACTAATCCTGAGTTTCCACTCCTTGAAAATAATTAAAATGTCATGAAATGAAAATTCAATCAAACTTTTTCATACAATTCTCATCAATTCTGTCAGATCAACTCAAAAAACTTTTTCTATTTAAGCCTCGAAATGAACTTTTACATGAAAAAATTCCAAGTAAGTCTCCAACATCTCAAACTCTAAATATCAATCAAATCAATATTTTTAACACGTTGAAAAATCACTTTCATTAGCATGACGATAAATTTCAATTATTTCAGTTAAAGTCAAAAGAAAAGCTTTTAAATCTATCCACTTGACATGTAGTAAACATTAATTTTATCAAGTAAACCTGTAGCATGGCTCAAAAGACTAACATAAGAGCTCATCAAGGTTCAGTTTGAAAATTTAAATTAATTTTCTGTATTCTGCGCTATTATAGTCGTTTCCTTTTCTGTTCTGTTTGCTTGTTTGCCAATTAAACTTACTTGAGGAAGGAATTGAGGTTATGTTTGCTTTCTTGGAAGTATAGTCTTTATTGCAATTTTTAATTGGGATGGTTGAAATATTTTAAAATCTTTCTTGATAAAAAAATATTAATTAAAGAAGTTTAAGAAGGAAGGATATACTCAAGAGCTATCATCAGAGCTTGAAGTCGATGAAATTTTGTATGGAGTCGAGTCGACTCCGCCATACAAAATCGATGAAAATCTTGAGTCGACTTTGAGCTCTGTCTATCATAAAAATAGCATATTTTGACGTCAAATGCTCAATAAATCGAGCAAGATAGAACCACAAAATTTCTAATAACTTGATAAATTTTCCATAATTGAATATCCCAAACATCCAATTGCCAACTTTGAGTTTGTGCATCACTGAGCTTGAAAATCTCTTTTTAGCTTCTAACAAATTTTATTTCTTATTTTTCGATACTGAAAAGGTGAAAAATCCAAATAGAATTTACCTTTTTTCTCAAGCGGTTCTTAAAAAGTAAAGTAAAAGGAAATCGTTACGCATGCTTGTGTCAAATAAATCTCTTCATACCACCAACAGTAAATTCAATTGAAGACAAAAGGTAAAAAAGTATAAATCGACCAAGAACATTTTTCTTATTTTGCCCCTCTTTATTGTGTTCCTTGCCTTACTTCCTACACTCGAATCAGAATCAGACGTTTTTCATTGAACTTCGAACAGGAAATAAATAAATTAAACAAATAAAAATTAAACAGCTTGTTCAAAAATTTCCTCACGACAATGCCAATAAAAATCAAAACCCCCCGAGAGAGCAGAGGAAGTCGCAAAAGAAGAAGGAAGTTGAAAAAGCGACAATCGTGCGAGAAAAAAATTCCTTTACAAAAGAGAAAAAATTTACGATTTTCAATTTCATTTTGCGGGCAATTTCGCATTTCGCACTCCTTTTGATGATTTTGGATAAGAAGTTGGGAAGCTTTTTTGTGGGTTTGATAATTAGGATTGAAACTTGAATAGGGTTGGTTTGTGGAATTTATAACTTTTTTCAAAAAGACACTGATTTTGAAATTTTAAGCCGTTCAAGCTTTAATGTGAGAATTTTAAAGCTTTTTGTGAATTTCCGATGTTTGAATGTTTGAAAGCTTTAGAGCTTTTTGAAAAAAATTGAGCTTTTTGAAGAGCTTTTAGAATCAAAAATTCATTTAGTATTTTGAGCTTTTTGACAGTATCAGAGCTTTTTGAAAGCATTGGAGCTTTTATAAAATAAAAATTGAGCTTTTTGACTCAGATATGTGGACCCTCTACCATAAAATCACCACATCATGTCCAAAATACTTGCTAAAAACATCTTCTATAGAATTATTTTCCGTTCCTTCTTCTTCATTCTTCAACATTTTAATTTCATGTTACGCACGACTAGTTACAAGATTAGGAGAAAAGTACATGTGAAACATCCGTAGATTTTTCTATTTCTAGGTTAGATTCGAGCAAATGAGATTTTTTTTTGTCAATGGAACTTTTTTCCTCCCTCTTTTCTGTCGTGAAAGGTTAAGATTTAACCTACGTAAAAATAAATTAGATTACTGATAATTGAGTCTTTGTGTTGAATGTAAGAATAATGACGGGGCTTGTGGAATTTGGTTTGGAAGTTCTTAATAAGATTTAAATGCGGTTTTTATGCTTGACTTTTCTTTTGTTGATATTGAATAGAATCTTATGTTATGTGTGGCATAAGGATGTGGAACCTGATATAATATTTTACCTAAATTTTTAAATAATAGCTTGAAATATGCTTAATTTTAATTTTATTTTCGATTTTCAGTAAAATCACATTGCAAGCAGTTCATTTGTTATAAAAATTAAACAGTTGTAGTCTTTGTTGAATATTGATTTTGATGTCCATCATCAACTTTTGTAACGGATGTTGAAGCAACTGAAATTGGCTGTGGGATAAAATGAACTTGTTGAGAATAGTTCCATTGTTGCTGATTATTGTCATTATTGAAGTTATGCTGGTTATGATGTCCTTGATAATTTGTGAATCCGTTGTAATTTTGAGCATAAGAAAGTACTGGATAAGCTGGTTCACGTCTAACTTCAGCATCAAATCCATCACGGTCATTGGCACGATAATTAACTGTACGATGATATCCATCAGAATCCAATATTGTGTACTGACCTTGAACTTCATCTCCACGTCTTGCTTCTTTGTGTGTTTTCATATCTCCAGTCATCATGTCTGTAACTGCATATTTGTAATCGTAATTTGAGTCATCATGAACATTTAAATGGCGAGTTGATGATGGAATGTTGACAAAAGCTGGCTGCAAATGAATAACGACTGGAGTTTGTTGATGCTGATGTGGAACAAAGACTTGATTTACGTTGTGTCGTTGATGTTGATTCTCACGAGCATGGTCTAATCGTTCCTGTTCATGATCTCGGATCATTTGATCATGCACAAGTCTTTGGTCATTCAACTGCTCAAGCTGGGATTGTCTTTGTTGATGCGTAAGTTCTTGATGCTCCCGAATTCTCTCATTTTGGAAGTTTTTCATATCAGATTGCTGCTGCCTTTGATTCATCATATGCTCATGGAGATCAATTTGAGCACATGATGCTAATGCAACTGATGCAAGGAAAATAAGAAGCTTAGACATTTTTCTAATTGTTAACTTGGCAAGATGCAAATGAGAAATGACTTGATTTTCAGGAGAATCTGTTGCTTTTTATAGTTTTGAGATAGAATACTGGAATTTATTGTCACAGTTGACAATTCAGTGAACAACAACTTTTAATGCTATCAAAAGATTCTCAAATTTCTTAACGGCATTGATGTTTCGTCCATGTGCATTAGAAAATGTTAAGGTAAAATTTATTTTCAAGCTAATTTCTAGACACAGAAAGAGCAGCATTTAAGTACACAACACATGCTGAAAAGAACCGAATGTAGACTACGTAAAAATCAAAAACAATTTTGTTGCCAGGTGAACGATCCTAGGAAAGAGGAGAAGCTAAAATAGAAAACTGGAGTGAAATTTAATCGACATGTCATTATCATAAAGGTATGTTTCAAAAATGCCTGCAGTCACAATCTCTAGAAAAGTCTTAGAAAAAACATTAAAGAACACATTATATTTAAATGTGAGACATTTTATTGTCATACAAGCTACAATTTCGATTTAATTTTCACTAACACTTTCCAAAGGAATGGCATTTGCTATAGCACATTCAGAATTTTCTAAGAGACTCGCACAGCAACTCCAGTGTCGTCGTCCTAAAATGAGAATTTTTAAAAAAAAATCAGTCAAATCATAATTAAATTGAGGAATAAATTTTGGTGATGAAATAATGTTGAAAGTCAACTTGCCGGGATGTTTTTCATGTCCATGTCCGCAACATCCTTGCCTTTTAACTCCATCAATCTCCATTACGCCACCACATGCACATGAATTTACCTTCTTTCCATTACTTGAACAGAATGAACAGCAATGAAAGATGCCTGAGTGCGGTCGTAAGTTTCTAGCTCGAACAGTAAATGGACTATCCCTAATGGGCTTTCCATTGACTGTAATTGAAATTTGTAACAGACCCGGCTGATCAGGCAGGAAAATAATTGAATATGTTCCATCACGTTTATCGGTTAAATAAACGGGAAGTGTCTTAAATGTAACATCACGATAATAGACTGTCACTTCAACGTCCGCACATCCATGACACATGGCACGTTCCTCATTGTCACGTGTCTGTAGTACAAGTTCTGCCTTTTTGTGAACTCGTAAATTCATAAGACCTCTGAGACTTTCCAATGTACAATTTCTAGCAACAGCAATTTGCGTTGTGATTATACCAAAAAGTGGAATATTCTTCTGATTTAATGGCGCTCTGACCTCCGGAAGGAATTGAAGTGAATCATTAATCTTGATATCGAGCGCTCTCTCCGATGAACGGCATGCATCAAATCGCCTTAAAAGCATATTAACAAGCACTAAACTTTCTATTTCCGTACCATCCGACAAGAGATTTTCGGTAAAAGCGATTGCTGCTTTTGCCTCATTCGTTCGTCGCTCCAAATCCACCTGATGTGATTGCAGCATATCCATCTTTATATCACGACATCGTGCAATTTGATGCAGCAGCGTACGCTTATGAACCTCGAGTGCCTCAAAATATTCCATCAAAAATGTCACAACGTCCTGCTCAACTGCATCACATTTTTGATTAATTTTCTTAGAAATCTCATTTAATCTCGACATCGAATGCATTGCATAAGTCGTTAATGGCTTCGTATTGTCCTTTGCATCCTTTAACATTTCAATATAAATCTTTGATGCTTTTGCAATCGATGTCATCTTATGACCACGATGTATAAGTACTGTACATTCCGAACATATCACAAGACAGCATGTTGTACAAAATAATTTTAAATCATTGTTTGAATGAATCAAACATTTTACTGCTGCATTTGAGGATGCTAGCTTTTCCGATGACTTTTTTGTTTTCTTTTCTTGTAGCTTTTTTATCTCATGATTTGTTGTGTGACGTTTGTGGGTGTCCTTACATGTAGTGCATAGTTTGAAACTGCATGTCATGCATATTGATGTGGCCTAGAGAGATAGAGAGAAATTGAGAAAAAAATATATATTGAGGACATGCATAGATTGGAGATGAATGGGATGTTATTTTTTCTGTATAATGAGATTTCGTTTGATTATCTTTAATGGAATGATAATAGAGATATAGTTTTTGAATAATTCTGGGTATTGTTGGAATTTGATGGAAGTAAATTGAGTTTTTTTGCGGTTTTTGTGACTTTTTGATCTTTTTTTTTGAGTAAGAATGACTTAAAGAGAACTCGAAAAGCACACGTCAGCTAATCGACTTGTGCTATTCGGGGAAAGGTCATAGAACCAAAGGCTGTTACTACAACATGTAACACACGTTATTTATTAATGACCCCAAAATCCCATATTTCAATTTTCCAAAAGCCATTCCTTTATCTCCCCTCAATCTTTTACACAAGACCTTATCATTCAATTTACACCCACCCAAATACTCACATTACTATTCGCAAACATACACAGTTGACATGTGTTCATCGTATCTTGATTGCTTCCAATTGCTTTCTTAATTTTTCGTGCCACTAATGTGTTTTGTGGCAATCGATAGACACCTAAATTGGTGAGAAAAAGTAAAGCATAAAATCAAATGAAGGTTCACGACAAATGTGCATTAAGAAAATTGAAAACTTAGTCGATTGGCATGAAAAATTGATAAAATTTGTGGCTATGATAAAGAGTTCCTTGATTGACTGTCTTTGGATACTTTTTAAGGATTTTCTGATTTATTTTGTGACTAAAGTTTTATTATTTTAGTTCATCTGTGTATCTGTGGCTTAAGCTAAGGTTAAGTCGTTAATGTTACTTTTAAAGCTCATTTGGATCTTAAGCTGCTCATTAAAACTTCCTTCAGACATCCTACGAGCCTTAACACTTAACAGCCTATCCTAGAACTCCTTACTTACTGTAACCATGTTTCTATGTGGAACTTAGATTATAACAAATGACTCTGTAGCTGGCTCTGTCACCTAGTTTGTACAACTTCTCCGTCTGCACATTCAGCTGACATACTTTCATCCCAAGAACTTCTTAACAAACCTTAAATTCCCGTAGAAAGTTGTTCAAGGAAAAAGTAATCACAAACTCACCATGAATTGTCATTTCAGTTGTTAAACCACAAGTGGGACAAATAATGGATTTTTGTTTATCCGTAAATGAAATGATTGATGAATTTCTTCCCTTAACGTTTCGCGTAGGTGACTGAAAGTACATTGAGAAATGTGTATGGTTACCTAAAAGATTATGTTGTGATAAGGAAGGTGTGCTGGAATGGGAATTCGTGTGGATTTAATGTGATTTTTAAGATATGTTGAGGGACTTGGGTTTTGTTTTTTTAAGCAGTGAACTGTGCATGCTTTAATGTTGGAACAGCTGAGAATTGTCTTTGTTTCAGTTTACTATTTAATGGATGTTAAAGCTATGAATGACGATAAAAGAAGGACACCCAAATAAGTCTACAAAAAAATAGCTCAAAATTCCTTAAAGTCCTTTTATTTATTTACAATCACTTAAAATTCTTGCTTCTTGAAATCCCGACAGAAGTTCCTTCCACGAAGTTACATCTTCAAGAGACCCATGAAACTTTCATGAAAGATAAACCCTCATTTTTAAATTCAAGGTTAATTCAATACAAAACTTCTTTTCCATTTCATACAAAAACTCGATGGTAAATATTTACTTAAATCCTAATTCGAGCAGTTTTCTTCGTTATGTATCGATCCGTCTACATACAAGAAGAAGGCACACACATACATAATTAAACAAATATTTATCTAGCAACAAGCAAGCTGTACATGAAATGTATTACATTACCTTATCCTTGAAGGAACTTTTTGATAGAAATTTGCGAGGGCTCTTCGAGCTTCCGGACAACGAAAATTTCTTTTCCGGTGTATTTGACTTTATTATTGTATCAGAATCAGCACTCGAACGTGACTGTACAGAGGGTTCTTTGTCTTTAATGAAGGAAAAGGAAGGGACATAAAAAGAAGAAATGAAAGAAAAACTTTTTGATTTTTTTTTGTTTCAATGCTTTAAGCTTTATCTATATTTAGAGAATCTAGTTGGTTAAAAATTTATTAGAAACTTTTTTGATGCTGAGTTTTCGGATCTGTTGTTATTGTGTAAAATCTATAAAACCTTTATTATAATTTGTGAATGACCGTAAACACAGACCCGGTCAAACCCCTTCACTCAAAAAACTCCACAAATTATTCTTTCCATTTCAAACTAGATTCAATCCAAAATAGTAAGCACATATAAAATAAATTCACATACATGAAGACGAGTCACTAATTTTCCTCCAAAATTGATTATTATGCAAATCACTACTGGCATCCAATTGTGCCAAGCACTGACAACAAAACGAGTGCAAACAATCGAGAACACGCGGATCGTCAAGAACTTTATTGCAAAATTTACAGTAAAATGATAATGGATATTTAAAATCCACTTCATTGTTCATTTGCGGAAGTGTAATACTTTTTGTTGACGCCAATGAAGCACTTGAAGTTTTAACGTCATTGACATCGGAACAAAGAGACGTAGTGGGACGTAAAAAATGCTTTTGTGGCACTGCATAAATTACTTCATTGATATCATCTTTATTATCATTTAGAGTGTCTGGCTTAACACGTTCTACTGTCAATAAATTGTTCGATAATTTTAAAGTATCCACTTCATTGACTGCATGAATTTTCACATTCCTTCTTGCTGCTTTACCATCAGCAATCGAAAAACTTGCAGATCTCGCCTTTCTCACATTCACCGGAACTGTCAGAAAGTTTTTACAGCTATTCAACTTCAATTGCTCTTGCGATAAGCTAATTTTCATCTTCTTTTCCACTTGATTCTCGACATCCGCTATTACAAGATTATTTTTTGAACACTTTGAGAACGCATCCTCAAAATTACTGTGAATGCTAACAGAAATTTGGTCCATAATTTCGTCATGTAGTCTCTCGTATCCATCGCAATTGAACGTGTCGTCTATCATGTTATCATTTTCACTCTTTACTTCCATTTTTACTCCTTGTTTGCACGCCTTGCACTTGATAAGGTTTTCAACAAACTGAAATTAAAAAAGTTTATTAAGAATTCTTCAACATACTAATTGGATTAAAATTGCTAGTTGTGTCATGGGGTGTCTGAAGTGACTACTTTGCACTTATATGAATGAATTAATTCTTTTATTGATTTTTTTTCTTTCTCGTTTCGGTTGCTTTTTGTGTGTAACGAGGGAAATAATCGATATGTTATTTATTTACTTGACCAATTTGACATTATTGAATGTTTATTTAGGATGTATTTACATGATGTAATGTGAATAATATATTTAGTGCCTTTTGTAATGTAAATATTGTTATTTAATGATGATCATGATGATAATAATGCGAATACTTAATTAAGTTTTCAAATATGTTGCTTTTGTGTCTGTTCTTTAAAGGGTTAATTATGTCCAAAAAAATCTGGGACTGCTTGGACTTGTTCTTACTGCTTTGGATGCAATACTATGAGTCAGACTATTTTGTTTCTGCTTTGGATGTGTTTCTTTGTGCCAAGTTCCTTGATTTTCCTGTTGATTTGATTTTATTTATGAGTAACCCGAAAAAATAACATAGAATGTAACTAATAAAAAAAACCCTGTATACCTCGGTTTCATATTGAGCTATAAACAGGTTGATCATCTGTTACTGACGATTTTTAGCCGAGAAGCGAAACATGTCCAGATTTTAGCTCTGAAAAAATGGGACAGACCAAATTTTCAAGCGTTTTCCAAGAAAAACAGGTTTAAAAAGGAGGACATTAAGGATTTTAGGCAGGACATTGTTTAGCGAAGCGGCACTGTCCCCCTCAAAAGTGCGCAGTTGAACAGCCTAATAATAATGTGTGAAGGGCCCAGCCTTTCAGCTTGAGGCACTGCGATTCAAATTAGAACAGAATCTTTTGTACCACACCCTTTAGACCTACAGTTTATAGTGGGATCCGAACCACTCGCAAAACACTTGAACAGCCTAGCTATAAAACATGTCCAAAAAAAGTTCACAAAAGACTCGGCAGAACAGACATTCCAAGCCCAAATAACAAATCAATACTAGAATTTCGTTATTAAAAACTGATGCAGCTCCAGCCAGGTCACAATAAAAATTCACCATACAGATTTTAAAAAGAATTTAAAATCCACATCCCTTCCTGTTTCCAAGAATGTAAAACAGAATGAATCCACAAACATTCTACACTCCATAAAATTTCTCATATATTCCATAACCATAAATATTTCATCCGATAAAGACAATGTATCATGAGACATGGACTTATGCATTCAGTAATTTGTTAAAGGGGATTTCAGCACAAAAATTCCAGCTCGAGGATTTTAGTTTAACAAAAATAAATGCTTACGAATATGAAAACTGAACGTATATGACTTCCGTTTTCCCAAAATAGCAATTTTCCTCCTCCATCGACTTCCTTCTTTTATTTTGAGAATATCGGGAGTGAGAATGTACTTTGTGGAGCTATCTCTTGCACAAATGGAATATAAATTAGGAAATGAAGTGATGTTGTTCCTCTAATTTATGAAATTTTAATGCGAAAATGATTGCGACTGAATCATGGGAAGTAAATTGTTTAAATGATCTGACTTAGAAATTTGAAAAAACATTTGTATTTATTTTTGGATAGCTAAGGGGGAGTTGGTAAGAATATTCTAACGAAAAGCTCATTAGAGCTTTTAAAGGCTTCCACTTCCTGCAAAATAAACAATTTAATTGCTTTTCTTTTGTTTCCCATTTCTGTCGCAATAAAGTTTAATGAATTTTTATCTTTAACATAATTTTCTGTCTTGTAATTTTCCTTGTTTTTCCTTCAACATAACACATTCAGAACACACAGCGAAATGGAATGGCAAATAAAGGCATACAAAAAGAAAAAATTCTCATTCACGCAAATTACTTTATTTCATTCAACCTGCGTTTTCATTTATTTCCATATTATTCAAATTAATTCAAATTATCAAGAGAGCGGAAGGTGCAAAGTGTGAGGAAGTAAATTGGCACTTTGTGTAATTTTCCACCCCTTTTTTCGTGCCTTAAAAAATGGAAAAAGAAAATCTTTTAAAAAAGGATATTTTTGTTTCTTGCCAGCACTTTATTTTTATTCTGTTCTATTGACTGGAACCCATTAAGCTCTAAAGAAAAAGGATAGGAAGGTGAAGGTGGATTAAATTATTGCAAATCTTGACAGGATTTTATATTTGTTAATCCATTCGTGTTTCGAGTAAGCTAAGCGATTCTTCAAAGTGAGTGAATAAAGTCTTTTTTTTTGACACAAAGTGTTGTGCTTTAAGGGTCGTCCAACACCACCACCATCTTACAATTAGGGGTCGTTCACTTATGACGTCTGATATTAACGGTTATTTTTCAAAAAAGAACAGTGGAATTCTAGGAATATCTATTGTTCTTTTCTTGTTGACCCCTCCCCCCCCCTGGACGTCATAAGTGAACGGCCCCTTACCTTCTTATCATTGGACACTCCTTTTAAAAATATTAAGTAAATTTATTCATAAATGACGTTCATTAAAAATTGAGATTCTCAATTCTCCTTCCTCCTTCTCTCACTTTCCATATTATTTTCATTTAAAAAAACTTCTTTTTGTATGTCATTTATGAATAGCCCCGCAGAATTTTGGTATTAGAATGTCCAACAAAAAACATATCAAGCATTACCGTTAGAAAATTTGAATAGTTTAAACCAAATATTGATAGGAATCGAACCCTTAAAAATCGAAACATTTTTAATCTGTGCTAATCTAGCTTGCTAATTTACGATTTATTCTTTGAACAAAAACGACATAATAATTAATCCGCAAATGCAATATATCCAACCAACTAGAGCAACATACAAAGCAGCATTGCATGCCACATTATTCAACCTAAAACTCTTCAAAGTACTTAAAACATTCTACCTTTACATTTACATCCTCTTCTTCACTTTGATGATTATCCTTAAAACTCACAACAACAATCTTCATCTGCTTTTTGTGTTTATGATGCCTATAAATGGAATATTCTGTAACAAAAGCGAAACTGCTTCTCTTAATGGCATCAAATGATGAGCTTTCATAATACAATCTACAAAGACGAGCAGAGAAGCAGTATGGATTATACGATAATACCTGCTTAACAGATTAACACAAATAATTAATAATGCAGATGATTTTCATTAAAGTTCTCAACGTTACTTCTCCTCCAGCCTCTCATTTCATGCTTCGTTAAACTATTTCATCCTTGGGAGATTTTCTTCTTCTTAAGAATTCCTTTTTTTGCGCTTCATAAACATAAATAACCGATTTTTTTTTTCTCTCTCGTTCGCTTGCTCGATGGGAAAAAGAAAATGTAGAGTATGGATGCAATAGAACATAAATTTTGTGGCATTGTTGAAGTAAAAATTTGAGTGTGAAAAGTTTTCACTTAAAATTTTTTATGCTTGGTTCAACAGAAGCTATTGTTTTTGAGATGTCGATTTGGGAGGGGTTGGGTTTTTGGGATATAATAATAGATTCAAATTTAAGCATTTTGGTAAGATTCAAAAAAATATTTTTAAGTAACTAGATTTAACATAAACTTAATTTTTCAATAAATCAAAAAACATCTCAACATTTGAATAAAATGTTATTTAAAATCCTTTAAAAATTTGAATTTTTTTAAAACTGTTAAAATTTGATTTTTTTAAATCCGTTACAATTAAAATTCTTTAAATCAAATCCGTTTAGAGATTTAAATTTTTTAAATACTTAAGATTTCAAAATCTTTAAATCCGTTTAAAAAGTTGAGATCCATTTGAATTTTATAAATCCGGTAAAAGTTTAAATTTTGAATATTTTTTAAAGTCGTTGAAAACTTAAAATTTTCAAATCAAATGCGTTTTAAATGATTCTCAATTTTACAACAAAAAACTTTCTTTTCTAAAATTCTTTTCTTCATTTTGTTTGCTGCTGATTCATGCAAAATGAATCTTCTTTATTGTCTTCATTTATCTCTACATTTTAATTTTCTTTGTTTTCAAGTGAATATTTTCCATTTTAATGTTCATTGTATGAAGTGAAATTTTCAATAGTTTTAGAAAATAGTTTTCAAATCCTTTGGGGAATATTAAAGTTTTATTACCTGTGAAATTTAAGGAATTGAGAAATATTTCAACAAATTTATGAAAATATTTGACAAATGGCAGCTTTAATGCTGAAATCATGAAAAGACTTTAAAGAGAAAATTCAAGTTTTTGAGAATCTGCTTCTTAATTTTAGACCTTGATAGATGTTATCAATTCGACGACGAAGGTGGGTGTAAAATAATATAAATTAAGGCTGCTAAGTGAAAGAAAAATATAGAAAATGTAAATATTTATCTTGTAAATTTTCAAGATTGTAGTTGAGCTTCATTTTACATGATGAAGAAGGTCGGTTGACTTAATAATTTTGTATGAGCATCAAAAATTGAAATTTTGTTGAATTAGTCAAAAAACTTTAAGAAACTTGAATGCTTGTGGCTTTTTGAATTAAAGCTAGTGTAAAACGAAGCTTCATTATATAAAATATGAACTCCTCCTTAACTAGTCAATAACAATCCCCTCAATTTCTTACCAATAATCATATCAATTATCCATCCACATCGTGTCAAAATCCGAACCCTCAAAATCATCAAAGCATAATAATCTCTTTGATAAAAATAACACTCCTTGTTTACTATTATTAACTCCTCTAATTCAGGCCTTTAATCTTGAACATTAAAGTAATCATTGAACTATCATCATCCATTAACATTTTCATAGAATTAAAAGCTTAACAAAAATTTTCTTCATCTTAATTCTCAACAGGATTTGAAACTACAGTTCCTAAGATATCTTAATGTAATTTACTTATTAAGTTATAAAATAGTCATTAATGCAAACAGCTCTGTTAAATCTCAGTTCAAAAATTTGATAATTACCCTGCCGTATTAATGCCGATAACTTTTTCCATTGCTTTAATAAAACAACAATGAGAAATTCTCCATCACTTTGAA